CACACACACACACACACACACACACACACACACACTCAGTGTCACAGTCTGTGTCTCTAATTTTGTGAAGCCCACATAAAACCTAACTTACAATTTGGTACCCTGAAGGCTTCAAAATAATCCATCAATCAAAAGTCTTCATGAAGCATACATGGTATATCAAACAATTAAAAGAGGAACCACATAGGTGTGATCAGCACGTACTTATCTGAGACACTATGCTTACCTCAGAGGGAACAATCCACTGACAAAATCCCAACTAGGTTCACAGTTCTCACTTTGAAGTTCCAAGATGATGCAACACTGTGTTTTAGAACTAGGGTCAAGGCATTCTCTAACTTTCCTAAACTCCTGTGGAATGCTTTTTTTATTCTTTCCTTTTTTTTTTTTAAATAGCTTTTTGTTTTCTCAAAGGACAGACTACATAGGAAGAAAAGAGCAGCACCGTATTGTAGACAAGACTGATTGGTAAAAATGTCAGTGAAAAGCTGGAGGGGGCAATTCAGAAGAAAGGGAAATAGAAAGTAGTCAATTCTGGGTTAGGCAATACATTTTGTTTTATAAATAGCACTCTAACTTGGAATGGATGCCCCTAAGGTAGAAATGAGTCTATTCCAATTTTCTAGGCTCCTAAAGCATAACCTACAATCAAAAGATAACTGTGCCCTGATTTCATTATGAAACACACTCTACTGTGGTAAGTATTTAGCTAACACATAGCAAACAGGCAAAGGTACATTTTTACATATATACCATGGCACTGCACACCAGTATCTTAAAAATATTTACTCTTATTATTTAACAGTTAATATTTATTATATATACACTATGTGAAATATACAATTAGTACTTTCACCATTACAAATGAAACATACAATGTTACTTTAAACTGACTGTGATCATTTAAAATAGTAACAGTATGCCTCATTGAAAAGATGAAATAAAAGAAATACTGATGCTGAAAAACTGCTTATCTCATTCACCACTCTATGCTGTGTTCACTACCTGAAACTCTGAAATGTGATTGTGAAGAGATTTCATTTCAGTAGGTGCACACAACTGGCTCTAAAGAAATTCCAAAAGTATTAATATTCAATTATTAACAATTTCATTTCAATTCTTAATAATTTGGCTTCTATATGCTTTCAAAAATGTGATCTTGAGTCATAGCTCATACATTCTTTGGAGTATGTTTGATTCAAAACTGTCAATACTAGTGATTCATCAAGGGCCACCTCTATACTGTCATCCTTACTCTAAATGCAAAGGTCTTTGAAATCAACTTTGAGAACAAAAACTAAACGCATCTTCCCAACTTGTCAGCCAACTCTAATCCATTTCACATTATGTGCTAAGTGCTATCCTGGGTTTAGTGGAGAAACCCAGCAGAAATAATACCAGGGCACAGAGCAAATGTGTGGTCAACATTTGTGACATCCTGGAGAGAAAGTCAAAGGCATATTTCAAGAGTCACAGAGGGTGGAGTGAGATGTACGTTTGCAGATTAAACTTTGCCCTCTCTGTGGGCCCTTACTGACACCAGCACTCAAGAAGCCCAAGGGTGAGGTAATCATTAAATAACTCATGGAGCTGGCACATGGTAGCAGAGGATGAAAAATACTTGAAAAGGAATGAAATACAAAAATCCATTATTCTATAAAATACACTCTTAAGTGTAGGCAAAGCATGAAATAATCTACTTTGAGTAATTTCTCTTGCTTTAACTTTTTATGATGGAAATTTTTTGTTTGTTTGTTTGGGACTGGGGATCAAACTCAGGACCTTGCACTTGTGAGGCAGACAGCAGCACCACTGAACTAAATCCCCAGCCTATTATGGAAAACTTTAACCATGAACAATTAGAGAGAAAAGAATCATAAACGCTCATGAACCCATAATTCAGTTTTAACAATTAGCAATTATAAGTAATTTTGTTTCTTTTTTTTACTCCTACTTCTATTATTTTAGAGGAAATCCCATACAGACTATTAGTTGTGTTAGTGTATATAGTCATCCCTTGCTATCTATAGGGGTATAGGTTCCAGGACCCTTATTGAACATCCCAAATCAAAGATATTCAAGTTCCTTACATAAAATGATACAGTACTTGTATATAAACTATACATATCCTCCCATATACTTGAAATAATCTCTAGATTGCTTATAATACCAAATACAGTATAAATGTTATATAAATAGATATTACACTATATTATTTAGAGAATGATAAGAAAACAAAGTCTATACATGCTCAGGGAAGATGCAATTTTTTCCACCAAATACTGCTGATCAGCATTTGGCTGAATCCACAAAGGCAGAATCTGTGGCTACACAGCGCCAAGTATATTATCTATTACACTGTTACTGTATATGTATTAGTATATGTTTTTACCTCTGAAAGATAATGACTTACAGAATTTGAATAAATTTTTAAATTTATTATAAATATGGATACTTGCCTAAAATGTTTTATATGGAGATACCTGCAGACCCCCCAAAAGTTAGCAGTGATTTTGGGAATAAGGCCTATGATGAGGGGCAAGGGAGCTTTCACTGTTCATTTAATATCTTCCAGTTAATTTAAAATTTAACTGCAAGAGGCCATCTCCCACTGGAAGAGCAGCAGGAAGGCTGCCATGACCAGAAGAAGTCAGTGAGGTCTCAGTGGATGGCTCTGCAAATAAGAGGTGGAATTTTGCTCGAAGAGGCCCACAGAATAGCTGATGTAGATTGACACCCTAGCAGGGAGCAATGTCCATCAGGTACAGGATATGAATTCTCTAAATGGATAAAAATAACAGAGAGTTGTGGACTCAGTGACATTACTAAACATAATTATGGTTCCAATGACATGCAGGGCAGACACTTAGGAGATGAAAAGACAGCTCAAAATTCTGCCGCCACCCCAGCTACAGTCAGCTGATGAAAGCTGTCACTCAAAGACTGGGACCTTAAAGGGCGATTCAAAAACACTTCTTTATAAAAACACGTTAATAGTTTCACTCTCTCCTCTTTTTTATGTTAATTTCTTGTAATTTATCTAGTTTATAGGTTGAAAATTTATTTCCTTTGCTTTCTCTCTATTCTGCATTTTTGATACATCTGTCTCATATTAACAAAGCCCTGGGACCCACGAGGGTGGCTCCTGGGCTACCTTTCTGAGTCTGCTCACACTGAACTCATGTACAGCACAGACCTCTCCATCTTTCAATCTTCTCCCATTAGTACAGTAGGGATAATGAGAAAATGAGATTAAAAGTAGCTGACCTGTTCTTTTCTGTCACAATGTAATACCCCAACAAATAAAGATATTACAAATACACACAAATATATCAAAGACCAATCTCAATTAGACTAGTTAAAATCTTAAACTTCTATATGTATTTTATAAGAAATATCATTTTCTCACTTTCAAATATCACCTAAACAGGCTATAAAATATTCCTTAGTAAAAGTCAAAAGGGAAATTTCTGTTAAGGAACACACTTCTTTCTTTTTTTTTTTTTGGTACCGGGGATTGAACTCAGGTCCTTCTGCTTGCAAAGCATGCGGCGGAACCACTGAGCTAGATCCCCGGCCCAAGGAACAAACTTCTAATGTTTTTAACTTTTCATTAGCTTGAACATAAATAAATTTTCTTGTTATTATGGTTTTGGTGGCATTGGGAATTAAGTGCAAGGCCTTTACACTGAGCTACATCCCCAACTCTTTTAATTTTTATTTTGAGACAGGATCTCACTAAGTTGCTAAGTTGCCCAGGCTGGAGGACTTCTGCCTCTGTCTCCCAGGGTGCTAGAATTACAGGTGTGCACCACCCTGCCCAGCAAATAAGTTCTTTAAAATAGCTGAGAATTTTTAAATAGCTGGTTGTCTTAATCAGGTTATATCCTGCCTGGCAACTGTTTTATCAATATTTAATAAAATGTGATATCTGTAGAGAGTATACAGAAAGTTTATCTAAGCTCTGGTAGCATAATTTCTATATCAGTGATATACTTAACCAAGAACCTATTTCTTCCATAGAAGTGCTTACCAAAACAAACAACTTATGATCTAAAATGAAACTAATCTAGGATGTAGCTGAAGACTAATGATATTTTCCATATAAACTGCCCAATTTTGCCCTAAGAAGCTCTTGTTTCTCTCTGCCTAGTAATAGACATTTGTGGTCAGTTGAAAGATTTGCTGACGGATAGCTGGAAGCATGAAAACCATGTGCCACTGAGGCTCCCCCTTTCCCAGGGTACCTGCTTCATCTGGGGAGCTGGGGGAGGCACTGTCATGGGACAGTGTTGTCCAGCTTGACTCCTCATCACTTGGGGCCAGGTTCTGGATCCGGTGGAGCGCACAGTCGGTTTTGGCCCCCGTTTTTGGGTGATCCTTCTTGGTCTCTGGGCTGGATGACACGGTGGCCACCTGGCCATCTTCTGGACTGGACTGGGGTTTGTTTGGTTTCTGCAGTAGCAAGTCTCCATTCCCAATGATGGCAGGAGCCTGGCCCTGGCCTGGCTGGACCTTCTCTTCCCCAGGCCCTTGGTGGTTACCCAGGTCCTGCTCCTGCTCTCGGGTTGAGGTTTCCAGGTCTGCATAGTAATTGAGGAAGCTCTTAGTTCTTCTGGGCTGGGAGGGTACAATCTCACAGCCCAAGGGCTCCTGGGCACAGGGCTCTTTACCCTCTAACTTCTCAGAAGTTATGTTGATTACTGCCGCAGGGCTGATGTTTTTGTTGGGGTCTTGCTGCCCTTGCTCTGCAGCCTTCCGGAGCTGGTTCTCCCCATTTTTCACCAGCTTGATGTTGGCAGAGCCATTTCCCAGCAGGGGCTGTGCTGCGGGATCGGAGAGGCCCATTGCCGCCTGGATGTTAGTTAGTGCATATTTTTTCCTGCATTTGGGAGGTGTGCTGTTCTTGGTGTCCGAGTGTTTTATTTCAGCATTCAACAGTTCATTATGAGAGGAACGGAGATTAAGGGTGTTCGGTGGTGTGGCTGGGCTGTTGCAATTTGCGATGTCTGTGGTTCCGCTGCTGGCCATAAACACTGCCAAGGTGTCGACACTCGAGTCACCTGGAAAAAGAGAAAATCTGTTGTTAGATGCTTACCATATTAAACAACTTAGCGTAGAGTGTGAGCCACATTTTTATACAGAAAGTTGAATGAATAAATGCCTCTATGGCATGATATATTCTTCTAGAGTTGACCCATTTTCTTTATTTCACAATTTGTTCATGTGGTAAGTAGGAGCAAATAAAGGGATTAATGTGAATACATTATACTCAAAAGTCAACATAGAAAAGCTAAGACATCGGAGGGTTGAAATTTTACTTGGAATAAAAAAGCATTTCTCTTTTGAATTCATATAAAAGTATTTCCTTCTAATTGCTGGTCTTCATTTATTATAACCTTGAAAATCATCCCCTTTACAAATATTTATGACACGTTTTTATTCTGTAGTTCCTTCTCAACAACAACAAAACTGCTCAAAATTCCTTGGGGGCTCCAGCTTAATTAACCTGAAATGACATTGTTCAATGATGTTCCATACATCCAAGGTAACTTTTCTCATCCTTGTTTAGAAATTGTATTGTAAATGCCTGGAAAACCAAACCTTTATTTGAGTTTGTTAATGTCTCTGTGAACATTTTTAACCTGGGCTCAGTGTTTACACTCAACAGAAATTCTGAAGAAATGGTTCAATTTCTCAAGAACACACACAAACATAACTATTACTAATAATACAGCACTGAGCCCTGGGCTACTACAACATGCTACAGCCCCCAAAGGAGTCTGAACAGATTTTACTGAATTAAAATACAGACTCAGCTGTTTGAAGTCATTCTGTGCCACTGCAGAACTCCTAGGAAACTATCTGACAGTTGCATTTATCTCAAATATTGTTTGCACCACCAGTGATTTATTCCATATGTCCCTTGCCAAGAAGAACGAAAGGTTTCTCATAGTAGAAAGAAATAAAATTCAACTGTAAGAATTCCTAAGGTTTCAGATTTCTCAGTCCATGAGCAATGAGTGATATTTCTTATCTGATCCTTTGCCCTCCACAGAGACTTGGGTGATTTGCACATCAGCAGCAGAGGAACTAGAGTACAGCTTCTGACACTCTTGAAACTGTATTCTGACAAATCCCTCTTCCTCCCCTAGGCAAGGGGGATCTCCATAGGAGAAGAGGGCAAGAGTCTCCTCTGGTTTAGGAGCTTAGTGGTATCTCTGTATCATTAAACACACAGGTTTGGAAATTTTAGGTAAGAGTTACTCATTCTAGAATTCTTGTGCTTCCAGGAAGCTAGGCAATGTCTATGTACTCTAGGTAACAGCCACATTTGTAACAGAAGGGCCATGGGCCATGAGACAGTTCAGGGCTAGAACCCGAAGTAGTTAGACTTTGGGTCTCATTCTTTAAAGTTATTGTTTATAAGGATTCCTGCTTACACAGCACTCCCTTGAGCTCTTGGGCCTCATTTTACAGGTATAGAGAATGAATGTTTCTTGCTTTGAAACAACATTCTGACAAGTAAATTTTTAAAAAACTGTTTTATGGACTGCTTCATTGCTACTACTACCATTTTATGGAAACCATACATTTCAGTTTATAATTCAATGTCATTCAAGAATAGGATTTGATATGAGTAGGCTCCACCTCAAACCCATATAAAGTTTTTTCTGAGACACATATCTGCAGCATAGATATACAAGAGAAAGTTGTTTGTACACTCTTATTTAGAGTGACGTTATGAGAAAGGAGAAACATGTCAGGCTCCTAAGAGGCATGAAAAATTATTCTAAGTCTGTTTATGATTGTAGGTAGTATATTATAGCAATGTTATTAGGGAGAAATTTTTATTTACTTTGTAAGCACAAATATTTTGAGAGATAGTAACTCAGAATCTATAGGTGATTTTAATATTCAAACAGCTGGATGGGACAGATTAAAAACATTTAGCCAGGTTCACAAGCCCTTGGGATCCCACTGCCCTCTCCATATGCTAGAAATCATGACAGAGTGAGGACAGGAGAGAGGCTGAGTTAGAAGAGAAGCATCCAATACAAATCAGATGTGCAAACACAGCTCCGTACATGCTGTTTTTATATATCAAAGCCTGAACACAGTGGTTATGTCTTAAATATTAAACACGGGTATTACTGGGAGGCAAAATTAAGGGTTCCTTCCTAGAACTAAAGCAGCCAAGCTAATCCCATGAAGTGTACAGTGGCCTCCAGGAGTTTATACATCAGCAAGGAAGTCCTCTGGGGTCAAAAAGGTCAGAAGCTAGAGGTCAGCAGAGTCCTAGAAAACTCCAGGCTGCAGGAAGGAGGGCCTGTATATGAGAAGCAATGTCATGAAAGTTAAGAGCATAGAGCCCAGGGTCAGAGAGATACAGGCTCAAGAGCTGTCCCAGTTACTTGATAGCAGAGTGATCTAGGACACCTGGCCTCTAGTTTCCTTTATTGGAAAAATGGGTCCACTAATAGCACTTGGTTGATGTTAGGATTAAAATGAAAACTGTCTGCAGAAAGCTCAGCATAGTATATAACCATAAATCTGAGCTCCCCTCATTTCTTTGTACACAAGTGAAAGAGCACAGGGCTGCCTGCCAAAGCTCCCAAATTAACCACCTCTCTCCTGGGTCTGTTTTTGGGAGAGAGGTGGTGTTTTAGACAGGGTCTCAATCTGTAGTTCAGGCTGGCCTCAAACTCATGGTGATCTTCTACCTCAGCCTCCTGAGTGAAGGGATTATAGGCCTGTACCACTACACCAGGCTTCCTCCTGGCTCTAAGTGATAGAAATGCTCTAATGCAGAGATACAAAGAGTAAGTGCACTAACAAGAAAAGACAAAGAAGCTGGGTCTATGAGAATCTCATTAAGAAAAAAAATAACATTTCTCAAGTTTAAGAGGGAGGAGGCTTGCGTATTATTTATTTTCAGTAGTAGGGACTACACCCAGGGCCTTCTCACTGAGCTAGATCCCAGTTCTTTTTATTTTTTAATTTGAGACAAGATCTTGCTAAGTTTCCCAGGCTGGGCTCAAACTTGTGATCTTTCTGCTTCAGGAAGTGCTAGGATTCCAGGTGTGCTCTACCATGCCTGGCTGCATTTCTATTAAATGAAAGAGAATCTTGTAATGTCAGTTTAAGCTCTCTAATATTTAGCCATTTTCCTTAGAATCAAAAAGCCTAAGAAATACAACCAAACTCTTTTAATACAACAGACAAGTTACTTAAACTCCCCATTTCTCTGCTGCACAGTGGAGATAAGAGTAGCTACATCTCATGGAGCTTTGCTGAAGGCTTTTTAAAAGAAATGACTGTCAAACATCTAACCTAATGGCTGGCATATTACAAGAGCTCAAACCATGTTAGGGATTACTATTATTTTATAGCTCTCTCCTTCCCTGCATATTTCTCTCTGCAGAAGACATGCAATAAAGTCAGAGAAATCTACCAGGGTGGTGGGATGTCTTTCCTCCTCTGAGTTGCAGAGGATCTAAAGGGAAGAGTGGGAGAGTTTGTTATGGTGTCTCTGTAAGGGAGTCTCAGGTGTTCAGAGTTGGGGCTTTTAGAAGGTGACTGGATCAGGGGAGCACTGTGCTTATCAGTAAATGAGCCCATTGATATGTTCATAGATGAATGTGCTGTTAGGATGTGGAGCCTGGCTGTAGGAGGTGGGTCACTGGAGTGTGCCTTTGGAGGGAATATCTCTTGCTTTATCTCTGCTTCCTGGTTTCCAGGGCTTGAGCAACTTTCCTCCAACAGGTCCTTCTGCCATGCCATTTCTGCCTTGGAACCAGCTGACTATGGAATGAACCCCCTGAAACTGTGAGCCAAAATAAACCTTTTCTCCTTTAAGTTGTATAGGTAAGGTATTTGGTCTTGGTAATGAAAAGCTAACTAGTACACTAAATCAAAGAACATTTAGTCTAACACAGTGGTACCTTGGTTTATGGAGTCAATTCTCTCCGTGATTTGGTTTGCAAACTGAACCAGACTAGAACTAAATCAAATTTCCCCATGAGGTCAACATTGAACCTAACCACTAAATTTGATTCAGTTCTTGTCCAACTTGGTTTGTGACCAGAATCAAGTTCATGAACTGAGGTACCACTGTACTTCTATAAATTAGAGAGACAGGGAAAGTTAAATCTACTTAAACATAAGCTGGACTCTCACTGACAATGCATGGCATTTTCACTTTTGCAGATTCCCAATTTAGAAACCTCAGCATAGCCCTTCATGAGTTATCTCATCAGTCTGTCAATTTTACTAAAAATGTTTCCCCACTAATTCAAGTTCCCTCTTCTCACCTGTTCTGTGCCTACTCTCAGGCCTTCAGCCCTTATTCTAGGCTTCCTTATGGATAGCACTAGTATAAAAATTCTCTCTAACTCCATCTACTCTGATATACTTTGCCCTCCTTAACCAAAAAATCTGAAATACTAGAAAATCTGAAACTTTCCCAGATCCTACATGATATCACTAGTGGACAATTCCACATCTGACCTCGTGTGACCAGTTGTAGTCAAAATGTAGGTACACTAAACATATACAAATTGCTCTCAGGCTACATGTATGTGGTAAATTTGGAAGATAAATAAACACTGTGATTTATATATATATGCAAACATATCCAAATCAGAAACATTTCTAATCCCAAGCATTTTAATGAAGGGATGTGTGTGTGTGTGTATATATATTTATATATTTCCACACACACACATACACATATACGCACACATCCACACAAGTCTATTCTTTTTTTTTTTTTGGTACCGGGGATCGAACTTGGGACCTTGCGCTTGTGAGGCAGGCGGTGGCACCACTGAGCTAAGTCCCCGGCCCCACACCCCAACAAGTTTATTCTTTAGAAGAACTGCCAGTTCATTTCATAAAGTGGCCCCACTATTTTACACTCCCATCCAGCAGTGTGTGAGGATTCCAGTTTCTCCACATCCTTTTCAACACCTGCTATTGTCTTGCTTTTTTTTAAATTATAGCCACCTTAGTTGACATGAAATGGTATCTCACTGTGTTTTTCATTTGCATTTCCCTTTCTTTTTTACATTCCCAGAATTTCCAGTTCATTATACAAAGTCTGGCATAGAAGAACACTCAATATATGTTTATTTACTAATTCATTCATTCATTAAATATTTCTCAAACACCTATTATATGCCATGCTTTTTCCTCAAGGGCAGAAACACAACAGGGAACAAAATAAGCAAAATGGGTGAGCAATGAATAAGCAAAATGCAGGTAACCATGGGGGCTGACCTTTATTACAGGGGTAGCTCTCCTCCTTTATTTGTCAGGTGAAAGGGTCTCCAGTGATTCTGCCACTACCTCCACACCTGTGAGGAGTGTTTTGAGTGTGTTTTGAGTGTGACTCATGAAGATCCAATCTCAACTCAAAGGGATCAACTATCCCAAGTAGGTGTAGGTTTAGATAGAACAGTGTGACTAAACAAATACTGTTGCTGTCATTGCTCTTGTGCATGCCCAATGGAGAAACATCTATTATACCCTGGCATTTGTTCCCCCCTTTTCAGTGAACAGCTCTACAGTTTTTCTTGGGGGAATCAGCTTTTCCCCACACCCATTCACTCATTTAACAGATTTAAAAATTTTTTTTTGCACTACCATGTGCCAGAAATGCTTCTAAGTGCTGAGGATACAGCAATGAACAAAACTGACTCAAAAAAATATCTCCTCTAGTGGAGATATTCTAGGGGTCCAGCCCATGTCGTTTAGGCAAAGATAGCAAATCCCATGGCTCAGGCTGGTTTGAGAGCCAATCATGAGGCCTTCACTGGAATTACGAGAAGCAATTTCTTTTCTCTCCTAAACTAGAAGATGCAATCTTTGTGCCTCAGGAGTCACCACGAAGAGACAACCTTGCCCAAGTAAAAATCTAACAAGGAAACAGAGCCGAGACAGAGAGTGAGGGAGTCCTAATGGCACTGTTTGAGTCCCCGAAATAAGTCCTGGCTGAATATAACAGCCCTGGACTTCTCCCAGCAAACAGACTGACATTTATTGATCTTGCTGAAGGCCACTTTGACCTACGTTTGCTCTTTTATGCAATTAAAAGAGTCCTGGTTAATACACCAAGTATTTTTTTATGGAGCCTAAACAATGTTAGGTAGGGCAATGTCACTTTAATTTCACACAGCTCTTCTCAAAGCCAGCAGCAAAGGCCCCAGCCCAGGTGCAGCCAGGCAGACCCTCCCCTCTGATGCCATGCGAGCAGAACTTGTGCTGCATCCTATAGTGAGGCAGCTTCCCCTCCTCTCCTCATCTCTTCCCTGAGACCTCCGGCCTCTGTCAAAGAAACAGCTTGTCAGGAATGACAGGAAACTCTGCTCTCTTCAGTAATCAGCAGCTCTCCCTCTGCTCTCATGCTTATAAAATTGGAAAGAGGTTGACAAATGAGCTCAAAGAAGCCCAAACTTTGCTCCGTTATTGAATGAAATGTCACATTTTCTTCATTATTACTCCTCTGCTATACAATTTTACTTCTACCGAGGAGTTAAGAGCAAAACTTCTGTCCTAAGAAATCCTGCCTTTTGAACCAGACCTCAAAGTATTAAGGTAATGAAAGAAACTCAGAGTTTTCTCCTCCTTTTAGGAAGAAAAGCAAAAGAAAGCTGTTTCCTGAAATTACTCAGGAAAGCAAACCTCCATGTGATAAGACTGATAAGAACTTATCTGTGAACAAGAGGCAAAAGTTATTAGAAGGCAGCTTGGGCCATAGGGTCGGGGAAATCACAGAAGTAGAACTGTGCAAATTTCTAGAGCTGGGAGAGCAACTTCGTGGGTCTACAAGAAAAGGAGTGATCTCAACAGAGATCAAGAGATTCGAGAGAGATGGAGCAAATACTTTTCTTTAAGAAACTCAAGTCAGATCTTAATTAGCTCTCTTTATCCACTCCATGATGTATACACATTTCCAATAATATGCTGTATACACTAAATATATACAACTTTTATTTCTCAATGATAGAAACAAATCTGAAATGTTAGTGAGAAAGATTCTGTTATTCCCATAACAGTTATTCCATGTTATGGTTTGTATCTGGAAGTCCCCCATAACCTCATGCACTCATAGGTGGAGCTTTGGGGAGGTACTGGATCATGGGTGTGTGATACTGGATTAGTCCACTGATGGCTTTATACCTAGGTGGGACGTTGAGAGGTGAAACCTGGTGGCAAGAGGTGGGACAATGGGGATGTGGCCCAGAATGGGGTGCGTGTGTGTGTGTGTGCCTTTCTCCCTTGATCTTGGCCCTGCCTCTCATTGCCTTGCCATGAGCTTTTTCTCCTCTGCCATGCTGTCCTGCCTTGGAGCCAGCCAACTGACTATGGATTGAAACCCCTCCAAACTGTGACCTAAAATAAACCTCTCTTCCTTTAAGTTCTGGGTGTTGGGTATTGTGTCCCAGCAACAAGAGAATACCAAAGACATTCCCCAAATTCACAGTGTCTGAAGGATCTTATAAGCACATGGCATGAATGCTGAGGATGGAGGTTCAGGGAAGGCTTCACATGAAGAGCTGAGTTGGGTCTTGAAGGAAGGTAGGAATTCACCTGTAGACAAGGAAGTTAAGGCACTTTTCCCAGACAGGAGAGCCTGGTGTTCTAACATCACACTCAGCAGATGTGATGATTGGTTACTTTGGAAATATGAAATATAATCTGTGGCTCAAATAAGAAGAGAGATTTTTAAAAATAGTAACCTTGGGAAACTATATGTTTATTTCAAGGATATTTTTTGTGCTCCTCATTTCTAAGGGGTTCTTGCCCTTTAGAAAAGCTTTAATGCCTTCTGAAGATGACTATTTTAGTAGAACCCTATGCTTTCTTTTTGCTTGCTTGCATTTGTTTTTTTGAGACAGCATCTTGCTATGTAGCCCAGGGGCTCTCAAACTCACAGTGATCTTCCTTCCTCAGCTTCCTAAGTGCTGGGATTACAAGAGTGTGCTACACACCAAGCAAAACTCCAGAGACCTTTATGGCCAAGTCTGGTGAATACAGTCAATAGTAAAGCTTGGAAACACTGGGACAATGCATGTTTTCTTGAGTAACTGAAAATCTGAAGCTTACGTCAATTCCCAAAGAAGAAAAAAAATTCAGCATTAAACAGCAGAATCCTTAAAATAAGGTAATTGACTATGTTGTGGGCAAGGGGGCAAAGATCTATTCGGAAGGGATTCCTGAGTTATACCTTGAAGGGTTGACAGGTATTTTGCAGGCAGATGATTGTTTAAACTTTGGTAGGTTCAACTTTTAAAAAGCTCCTTGCAGTCACAGCTTCCAAGAGTTCAAAAATGTGTTTGAAGGCATATTTTATCCCAGCTACTAGTCTGCTTCTTCCCTCAGGAGTTGGCATTCAAGTTTTTTAGTAACATGATAACACAGACTAAGATAGTCCACTGAAATAAAAATACTGCTTTCCTTATAAAATTCATGACCTATTATATCACTGCATGATACTAGTAGCTGTTATTTGAAATTCACGCTGGATAACCGTTTCAGTATCTCATGTAATGACTGCAAAATAATTTGAATACCTTCAAAAAGAACGAATATATCAGCAGAGCAAAACACAGCAACAATAAGAAATTTCTAGAATTATTTGACTGCCTCCATTTAGAGGAAAACTCATCATTTTATATATTGGTCAGCCTTATTCTATTAATGTTTCAATACAGAATCTACTTTCAATGTAACATAAGATTTTAAAGGATCTCTAAAGGGAACTGTTCTCAACATTTAAAAAATAATTTTAAAGGATGCATATATTTGCACTGAGTTTCTAACATTAACATACGTATTCAAATATATATATATATATATTTATAAAGAAAATCTATCCCTTTCCCAAATCATCACAATATGATTAGATGTCTCTAAGAATTAGCTATAATTCCTGCTTTTCCTCATAAACTTTGGTTTGTTACATTGTTTTTCACTTTTTTTTTTTTTGGTAGTAGTGGAGGCCTGAAATTAATCAGGATTGGATCCAAGGAGACTACTGAATTGGGAAATTCTATTCTAGACAAACCCTACAATATAAGTAGTTGTTTACGGAGTCTCAGAACACTAGCACTCATCTCTTTGTTCCTATTTCAATAATTCTTATGCTATAATGTACAATGCTAGAAGGTAAAATTTGAGTTTTAATTTCCTGAAATATTTTTACATAATGATATGCATAGTCATGCAATTATTACAAAATGATCAACTACTTCTTCTACCTTATTTTAAAAATTCTTTTTTCTATTACTTAGTAAAGAACAGTGAAAACCAAAAGCAGATTATGTATCTTATAAAATTTTAATATTCAACTGTTTCGCTACATTGAAATATGTAAAAACATATCTAACCTGGAAGTACTTCTGACATGGATCACTGGGCGTCAGCCAATGGTGCAGGAAATACGTTATAGTTTGCAATCTAAAAAAAAGGAATCAGTTGAGAAATTAAAACCCCAAGTAACAAACCATAAAGGGGGGAAAAAAAGCATAGCATTAAAAAAATCCTTCCAAAAGCTGTTTAAAATGCTAAACACATTATAGTAGGTTATGTACAAATTTTTATTTATAATTAGTCACACCACTTTTAACTCTAATTTGAATTTCTACATAACCACATTTCTCACCAACATTTATTGAGATTTCTTTTCCTAGGCTAGGCTTAGCTTGTCTCTCTCAAGTTTCTCACGCTTTTTCTGACATACAATATTCATAAACCACTAAAAGAAAAAAAATGCATTTTGCTACATAAAAGTTAAACCTTCTGTTTAGAAAAAAATGATTTTAAACACAGCAAAGACAAAACCAAAGTGGAAAAAAATTATCATTACAGATGGCATAAAAGGGCTATTTTCCTTTATATAGAAAGAATTTCTTCAGATCATTAAGAAAATGTAAGAATAAACCTATAGGAAAATAAGCAAAAGTTAGGAACAATAAGCATAAATAAGTAGCCTTACTTGAAACTAAACAAAATGCAAATTAAATACACGGACTAATTGGTTTTCCTATATCAGACTACAAAGATTGATAAGCTTGATAACACAATCTAAAGAAGGGAAACAAAGAATTTTCAAACCTTGCTGGTAGGAGTAAAAACTCTTTGGAGGGCCATTTACAAGTATCTGAGAAAATTTAAAATGCATGGAACTCCACAACCTAGCAATTTCACTTTTAAGAATTAATTTTACTGACAAACTCATATGGATTCTATTTTCCTATAATCAAAACACCAGTAATGATCTAACTGCTGTTCAGTGGACATCTGGCTCATGAAATTATGATACTTCTATGCAATGGAGTGCTACGCCATAATCAAGAAATGAAGTGAATCTGTGTGCACTGACATGAAAGAAAAGGGCTTTAAGACATTGATGAGAGGGGACTAACACACATAGCGCAGCATGATCTAAGAGAAGTAAAAATGGTAAAAGCCTGTACATGTGTGCACAGGCAGGCACACACACATACGATTTACACAGAAAATTTCTCAATGGAATAGTAACAATCTAGAAACAGTGGTAAACTGTCAGTCTACCAAATTAGAGACACAAGGAAAACTAAAAATAGACGTGATTTTCAATGAGTCTGTATCAGAAATGCCACTTAGAATGATAATCTATTACATGAGGTTAAATGCAGACACTGTATGACTCCATGTATATAAGGTACCGAAATAGGAAGAACTTCTCCGAGTCAGGGTAGTGGTGTGGTGGGCATGGAGAGGAAGAAGAAGCAGCAGCAGAGCAGCTGCAGGGATGCTAGTCATGGTGAACTGATTCTGTGAAGGATGTGAAAATTCAGCAAGCTGCGCCCTTACATGCACCTTTCTGTATGCGTAGTCCAGTTCCATGAAAAGTTACAAGAAAAAGTCAAATGCTAGAGGTTTTCTAAAGCATAATTCAAATTGGAAAACTATTATGTTTTCAAAGGCTCTCAATCCTAATCTAACCTTTCCAAACTAGTAGCCTTTAATGGGCATTACTTTGAACTTTATGATTCAGATAATGACCTGACAACCCGGTGTGCTGGCTCACAATCCATTTTTAATTATATTTTCACATATTGTGGGTAGGGCTCATTACTCTGGTATAATTAAAGGGGTGAGTTTATTTTAAACTGTTGAAAAACACCACGACATGCCTCCTCTATGCACATTTGTTTTTGCCCTATGCCCTTTCTCAGCTTCTTAATTTCACAGTTGTTTTCCTTTTTTTAAAAATCATCAGTGTACCTTAAAATGTAAGCAGAATGACAGAAAGGAAGTGGTAAAGTTAAGAAAATGAATACAAATAAAGCAGAGTTCAAGGCCAAGAAAGGGTATACTTACTTGAGTTTTTTTTGACAAGGCTTAAACAAAAGATAAGAACAGGTATATTTGTCAGTGTACGTACTTCTTAAAATATCCCTGTTTCTCTGATCTGAACCAAATTCCATCCTCTGTAAAGTTAGAAATCAGGCACTTTTCTGATCACTTCACTTTATGAATGGGGCCCTGGGCTATTATCTGACCCGTATGTATCCAGTGTTCACCCTGTACTGTGCACTATGTTAGCAGCGGGGTCACGACATTACCCTCTCTCAGGGGAGAAAGTGAAATTTGAAATTTAAGTTGCAATTTGAAGACTAAATGAGGTTTAGATAGGAAAAACATTTATTAAATACCTACTTCATGTATGTTATTTCCTGGCCCTGGGGATTAAGAACAAAAATACAGAGCTGTTTTCCTCCCTCAGCACTTACACCCCTGATGAATGAATAAATCAGCTTCTGAGAAGAATTTAGTGGCATAGACTAATTTTACCTAACAATAACCTAGGAAAATAGAAAAGCACTCAGAAAATAGGAGAACTCCAAAATGTATAGTTTCAATAATAAAATCTATCCAGTGTGGTGGCACCTGCCTACAATCCCAGCACTCGGAGGCTGAGGCAGTACGACCGAAAGCTCAAGCCAAGCCTGGGCAACTTAGAAAGACCCTGTCTCAAAACTAAGAAAAGGCCTGGAGATGTAGCTCAGTGTGAAGACCCTGGATTCAGTCCCCAGTTTGGGGGAGAAAAACGAAATAAAACAAGAATCATCTACAGCTATGCTGTCCAATACAGCAGATACTAGTAGCAACACTGAGTTATTGAGCACCACCAAGGAACTTACTTCTCTATTTTACTTAACTATAAATAATTTAAATATAAATTCATAGCTGGCCACACCTATAATCCCAGAACTCCAGGAGGCTAAGGCAGGAGATTACATGTTCGAGCCCACCCTGAATAACTTAGCAACTTGGTGAGACCCTGTCTCAAGTAAAATACTAAGTAGGGCTGGGGGTTGTAGCTCAGGATGAAGCCTGGGTTCTATTTCCAGTGTCATTGATAGATAGACAGATAGACAGACAGACAGACAATAGGTAGGCAATAGACTGATACTCGATTCACTAGAAAATATTTAAACTTGGAACTTCTTGGGTGGGTGAATCTATTTTTTCAACTCTAAATTTCATGAAATCTAAATACAGATCAAGTATTTCCAAGGAACATTTTGCATCTGAGTTCACAGCTAAGAGTATAAAATGCACACTGCTTTTGAAGACTTCACATGGGAAAAAGGTAAAACATCTCATTAATCTTTAAATATTGAATACATGTTGCAATAATATTTTGGATATACTGAGTTCAATGACACACTGTTCAAATTAATTTCATGTGGTTTTTTAAAAAGTGATACTAGAAATTTCAATCTATATATGTAGGTTGCATTATATTTTTATTGGAGAACTACTAATCCAGAGAATGCAGGCAGAGTCCAAAACTTCACCTTAATGAAAATATTACCTACCTTTCCCATAAAAGTAAAGACTAACTGAAATGTTACCTCAGCTGTAATGTTAGAGATTTTGACAGCATTCAAAGCAAGTGTCCTTCTTCCCATAAAAATCACATTCTGAGGTCAAAAAGTTTTGTAGTAAGAATACAGTTGGAACTTTAGATGAAGCATAAAATTACCCAAGTGCAAAAGTCTAGCAATCATGCTTTCCCTTCCAGCACTGTTTTGTGTATCCCTTTAATGAAACTCCATTATGTGGATACACCTTGTGATAGGGCGTGAGAAATGTCCAAGAGGACCACAGAGAGCACCCACAATCAGAAATCACAAAAACATTATTAAACAAATAAATGAGAGAATAAGTACATATAACACTTCTATTTTGGTTCAGTACAAGACGCTATGTATTTTTAAAAGATTCCAATAAAAATCTGCTTTACTTGTCTTTCCTGGATACAGGCAAACAAGCCTAATAAATACACCTCACCAATCAAGTTCTCAACATGAGCCCACCAGGACTCATCCCGGACAGTCATTAGATGCCTGTCTATGTGTAGGATCCCTGCTAGCACCACAGCTAACATGCAGAGACGTGTGTCCTACTCACAGCTCAGATATCATGATGCGCATTGCTGTCTTTAATATCAACTGCAAAATGCTGAACAACTCTTAGAAAACTCCAAAAGAATATTAAACAAATTACCTTTCAATTAGAAGGAGTTTTCACTTCTGGAATATATATATAGTAGATATTAAAATCATCTGAAACACTTTATGTTTAGAACTTCTAGGCTCATATAGTTATATGCATGTGGTTCACCACTATTTGGTGGGGTGTTTGGAAACTGCAGAGTATGACACTGCTGTATAAAATGGTCCTGGTACTGTAAGACACCTATCATCCCTGCTTTCCATCCCAAAGCTGTAAGTAGAGAGTCCTCTTTTGTACTCCCTAGGAGTTCTGGCCATTCCCACACTAGAACATTAGGAAATTGGCCCAGACTTCTCTTTCTCTTCTGAACTCATTCATCCCTTAAGTCTCACACAATCTTGAGCCAATATTTAATCTTTGAGAGCCTCTTCACTTTTCTTGTTCAACTGTAAATTGTAATTATCAATCTGACAGTTACTATGAGTATCAAATGAGGATCACACATTGCTTGCTTGCTTTCCTTAGTAGCTAGCACATCCTAAGCATTCATAAATACTAGGTGCTATTGCTACTGTTCAAATTTTCTTACAAATATGATCTCTTTTCTCAACTAGGTTTCTCAGCTTTCTGAAACAATGTGTGGAAGTATCATGGAGGTCTTTGTACTCCCAGTGTAAGTACTCAATAAACTCTGATCACCCGTATCTTGTCTTCTTTCCCTGCCATGTCCTGACTTCTTGCAAAAATGTTCACAAACAGCAGTCTGAGTCCAAGAACGGAGCTAAGAACTGCAATTATAATGGAAATGTTCCTTCTGCCACTACTGAAATCATCACTATAACCTGCCAAGCACAGGAAGAGCTGTCCAAAACTTCTTGGTGTATATTTGCTCTCGAAAATCTGCAGGATTGTACAAGTTGATAAATACTTTGAGAGTAGATACTGCA